CCCGCGTCTCCTGCATCGGCAGGCGGACTCTCAAGCACTGCGCCACCAGGGAAGCCCTCTCTTTTCTTTATGGGACTTTTTTTCCCCTGAAGAACCATTTGTTTGGAGTTCTGATTAGGCTTCCATTCCCAGGCAAAGATGTGGGATTCTTCCAATGATTCTCTCTGAGATTTTACTTCTTCCCCTTTGACGTCCATTCCAAACACTTGATCAGAATGGGTGGTTTTCACAAGTGATAAAATAGCCCAATAATTTGGTAGATTTTTTTTCCTGGTGCTTCCAAATCACTATATGCTCAAAATCTCAGATTGCCTCTCTTTTTAATAATGATCTATATAGTATGTAAGTCAAAGAGCCTCAGTCACAACTTAGCAAAGTCCATGATTGCCAGGATTTAACACTTGTTCAGTCCACATGAATGAATGACTTGTGAGAGTAGAATCTAACAGTTTTTCTGTCAGTGAAATATTTTATTTGTTTAAATGAAATGTTCACGGGTAATTCAGATAAGAGAATAAAGTAAACTACCTAGTATTCCAGTTACTCAGCAGATAAGGAAATAAAATAAACCAGTCTACCAACCATGAAACGGTTAGTGAGTTTTGTTTTTAACAATGGAGGTACAAGATTATTTTAAATCATCCAGAATTGGTAATATACTAAAATAACATTTACACTCTCACGGTGTATGAAACAAATCTTAATATTAAAGACCATCTGACTCCCACGACCAATATCCAAGATTCAAGTTCTTTAAAACCTGAATTCTATTAAATTCTGATTAAACCATTAAACAATTATATCACAAATGTCCAACAAATTATATTTGAAATATGTATGACTGGAATCTCTTGGTTAGTCATATACACTTGGAATCTTGAAATAAATAATTCTACAATAATTGCTGAAAGTAAATATCGATTTAGAAAAACATACATTAATCATCCTTTAGCAGCTAACTTAAAGATATCAACTCAGTATTATATTTCTTTACAAACATTGACAATTTCAGATTACAAAGGAAGTTCTCACTCATTTTCAAGATATATTCTGAATTGTCTACTTTACATGTGCATACCAAATTTAGATGCACAAGTGGCAAATCCATTGTGTTATCAAATATTAGACTCCTAAGCTCAGGATTGGAAAATACCTTGGCTATCATGAAGTTCAACAACTCACCAAATTATATCAATATTATCTCCTGTATGCCATTAATCCCAGGACAATCAACGTCCTTTGGAAAAGCACCAATAATAGAATCTCCTACCTCCTAGGAAATCCATTTTGTTAGAACAACTTAACTGAAAACTTTGCTGTTTTCTACTCACCAAGCCATAGTTTCATTCACATCTTTGGGCAATGATGATTTAGATTAATCATTCTTTTAAATGACAACCCTTGGGCTTCCCTGGTGGCGCAGTGGTTGGAAGTCCGCCTGCCGATGCAGGGGACACGGGTTCGTGCCCCGGTCCGGGAAGATCCCACATGCCG